GAGATGCAAAAGAATCTGAGAGGACAATGAAATTAATTATACATGCATCTACATCACCTTGAAATAAGATTCAAGTGAAATTTCCAGAAGAATCCTGCTTGGGACTTGAGTGCCAGTCACACTACAATGCACTGTTAGCATGTAGAGCTGAGAAGTAATTTTTCTTTCTTTACATGAAGTTCAAGGGAGATAAGATCAATTAAATTACTCTCTTTTGCATTGCCTTGAGTTTGACTACTGTGGTGGCACCCTGTGAGGCTGTACCTGCCACCCTCTCCACCATAGCATGTTGCTGCTGTCTGCAGAACTGCCCATCCGCTAGCAGAAAACTAAGGTACACCACTAAGAGCTCTCTAAAATCTTTCCACGGGAGCCTTCAGCAGTGGGATGTGACATGCTTGGACTCTGGCTCACAAGGCAGAGCCCACCTGATCAATATGGCTAAAGTTAAATCTCCCTAATCTGAATGCCACTTCATGTCTTTACGCTTATGAGACAAGTACCTCCTCAGCCTGTGGAAAACAAATGCAGCTCATCTCCTCTTCCCTGTTTATTCACACAAAGAACACCAGCACCAGCATGGTTCTCAGACAGCTGTAAATGCTGGAATTTTTTGTTCCTTTTTCAAAAAGCCAGGAAGATGACAGAGTAGCTGTTCTCCAAGCAGTACAGTACTTCTGCTTCTAACAGAAAAAATACAGATTGCGTGAACAGTTTGCTGGTTTTGCTTTAAATTAAAGCACTTCCATTCTCAGAGAAACTTTCAGTCTGGATGTTGAGGCAATGTTTGGTTTGTTTCTTCTTTAAAAGTGCTCATCCATTCCCAGTCATGGCAGAGACTCTGAGCTCAGCATTACTTAGGTGTTCACCTGGGGTGTGTATGTGCCCTAGTTTTGAGCTATTTCAACTTCTGCTTCATATTCTAGTGCTTTCTGGTAAGTAGAGTTTATGTCAGAATAATTGGCCTGAGGATTTTTCTTTCCAGTCCAGTACATTTCTGAGGTACAGCTACATGAGAGATAATGGAAATGCCTCTAGAGTATGTCTGACAAGGGAAATAGCAAGAGTAAGTAGTGAACACAAAATGGGGACCATGTCAAAGAGTGTGCAAGTGAATCAGCCCAATCAGTCACTGTGGGTGACGTATCTGAACAAATTGAAGCTGACACAATGGTCAATTTGACTGGGGTAAGTATAATTTTGGATTAGGGTGAACACCTTTAATCAGTCAATTGTAGCAGTCTTATACCTGTAATTGAAAGAGCACAGCACTGCTTTAATCCAGATGTCAGTCAAACCCATTCACCCTCTTCTCATTACTGATGCATTTGCACTCTTCTGCATTTATTTATTACTCCTATTTATTTCCTCTTTTAGACAAATTTTTTTCTCCACTTTAAGAAAATCTCAGTCTAATACGGACAGCCTTCAGAATAACACTTGGATTCACCTGATTTTCAAGCAGATGGTGTTCAAGGCACAGGAAACAACAAAACAGAGTATCACCATGTGTTTAATTTTAGCTTTCACTCCCTGAATTGCTGTTTCAACCATAAAAATACTATCTTATTTTTAGTCTTCTTGTATGCCTGAAGAGTGTCAGCCTTGCCACTCCAGAATTGCAGTCATGCCTCTGTATTGTAAGTCAGAATGGGGTAATTTCTGTCCTGGGAGCACCATTCCCAGAAGATGGTTGAGTTTCCATCTCAGCTTACTTGTCCATCCTGTCCCAGTCTGCAACAGCTAAGTGAATGTTTTCCATAGGCATCTTACCCACAGACTGGTCTGTAAAATCACAGACCAAGGATACTGGCTCATGAGATGCAAGAATCTTTTAACAGCTTTGGGAGAAGAATTACTTCATCCCTGCCCACTTGCAGGCAGATGGTTCTATGATTTATCAAGAGTCCATATGCTGCTCACAATCTCCTGAGACTTCTACCCCAACATCACCTCTCCCAATGTTTAGATTAAAGCAATGTGGAATGGAAAATAAAATTAGCCTGACCTTGCAATAAACAACAGATAGAATAATGACTTGCTGTGTCAGAGACCCTCCACTTCTATGTAGTATTCACCATGAGAGTTTCCTTATCTTTGTTCGCACTGCAGGTGATCCCTGCCTCGCACTAACATCCTGCTCCGAATACTGAACCTGACCTTCTCCACAGCATTTTCAATTCTAGCCTCTTTAATTTATGGTCATCACAGATACCGTTGTTCTAAATGTTTTCTAACCCTCTTCCTTTGCCGCTGTAGAGGCAAAAGGAGAGAGAGAGAAACCCCTTGTTTTTCTTAGCAGCAATCTTGTCTTTGGGAGGCAGGCCACAGCGAAACACTGAAGAGAGGAGAAGGTCTCTGTACCCTGGTAGGAGAAAATGCAGCAAAGGATTAAAATAAGAAAACTCATTTCTTCAGCATGTAAGGTTGAAATAAACAGTCAAAGAAGCATCCCACCTTCCAGAGCTTCTGAAGAATAAATCATCCAAACTGTTAGTTATCCATCCTTTACTCTATCATTATTCTCTGACTGTCAGATCCTTGTAGGGGGTGTCAGTTCCATCCTTCTTGTGTTATTGCATTTGCCATGCCCTCTTCTCAACAGCTCCTGTAAGTTATAATGGAACATTTGGGCTCACAAAATACTGGGAACTAAAGGGACAACAACAAAATTGTTTAAACTTTCCCCCCAAACCAATAAACAGAATAATAGGAAAACCAAAAATAAAGAGTGAGAGAATTTTACAGTCTGTAGATGATTTCTGCTTCTGGGATTGCATATGTCATTAAGATTTATAGGTCAGTCCAGAGCTTAAATAGCAGATCTTTTCTCATTATTTATCTTCCTAGCTAAGGCACAAGATTACTTTTTAAGGAAATCTGTGTAACACACGCAATGAAAATAGACCAGGTCCTAAGATCAGCCATTCTAACCAGCTTGTAAAGGCTTAGCTGAAACACCCATCAAAGAGAAGTTTCATATGAAAAGAAATGACAGGTTGAAATGTGCTCACTATGGTCTGATCCTGAAAATTTCAAGTAACAGAACTGAGTTATACTGTTATCTGGTTGTCCTCTGACTATAGTTATTAACATTTGAAGCGTTTCTTGTATGAACAGTCAACTGGCTAGCAGGTTTCAGCTTCTGCACCCCATCACAAGACCTGGGGTTTTGAGCTTTAATGGAAAGAATACTTTAACCGAAGTAGTACTCTGAATAACATCACTGCTGTTGCACCCCTTTGTGTGTAAATCAGTGGCCACTTTTTTGCAGTGGCTACTGTTTGCAGTGTTTTTGCAGGCTCTTTTGCAACATGCTGTTTGAAGGCTATTTGCTCGTGCAAACATGTGGTGATGGAAATGCAAACTAAACAAAATATCCCAATTCTGAACTTTGTTCTTGTGTTGTTTACACCAGAAACACCTGCTGATTCAGAACTACAGAATATTCTTTCCATCCTGTAACACATTTCGAAACACATGAATTGTACACATTTATAACCTCCACAACTTTCATATATATTGGTTAGTTTCTCTTGTCAGTGTAATGGGGGTGAACAGGGATCTCACATATTCCTAAGCCATCTGGGTCTGGGTCTGATCTAGGAAGTGTTTCTAACTCTTGGGCTACAGGACGGCTTGTATGTGAAACTCTCCTTTCTGGCTGCTCCCTGAGTGCAGGCCTTGGCAATTCTGCTTCAGGCCTTACAAGCACTGCTGAGACTATTCATGCCCGAACAACCTACTCAAAATTACACACCTTGAGGGTGTTAGATTCATTTTAGAGTCAAAAATAAATAAGAGAAAAAGGAACAGATTTGTACAGCAACCTCACACTCAAACTACACATGCATTACAGCTCAAGTGAAGCACCAAAAGCCTTCATAATCACCTGCACTATGAACAACCTCTTCTTGAAGTCTACTGTATCTCCTTGCCTCTGCAGATATTGAAGCATGCAACAAAAGAAACCTCGACCTTTTTCCTCAAATCTCAGTTTCTTATTCCAGCCATCTTGCTTCTTGGCATGTTCAGGCAACTGAAGACAAAACCCCATTGCAGATGAACTGAAACAACCAGTTCCTTTGTGCCTACCTCCCCTCTGGAGCAAAACTCTTGCTCTGAGAAGTACCACTGCTGACCCAAGGCGGAGAACCTCTAGTTCATAAATAACTATAGACCTGTCAGTCTGACTCAGTGCCAGAGAAGGTCATGGAGCAGATCATCTTGAGTGCCATCATATGGCACATATAGGACAACCAGGTGACCAGAACTAGTCAGCATAGGTTTATGAAATGCAGGCCCTGCTTGACTAACCTGATCTACTTCTCTGACAAGGCTATGTGCTTAGTGGATGAGGGAAAGGCTATGGATGTTGTCTACTGACCTGTTTTCAGCTGGAATAGTTAGTTTTCCTAGAGGCTGGTACAGTGCTGTGTTTTGGTTTTAGTCTAAGAATAATATGGATCTGTTGGAGCAAATCCAGAGGAGGGCCACCAAGATAGATGGAGCACCTCTTCTGTGAAGACAGGATGACAGAGTTGGGTTTGTTCAGCGTGGAGAAGAGAATGTTCTGGGGAGACCTTAGAGCAGATTCCACTACTTAAAAGGGGCCTACAAGAAATCTTGAGAGGGACTTTTTACAAGGGCATGTAATTACAGGACAAGGGGAAATGGCTTTAAACTGAAAGAGGGGAAATTTAGAATAGTGATTAGGAAGAATTCTTTCAGCATTTTAGGATTCCTTCCCTCTTTGGTTTCCCTAAAGAAATGTGCTGTACGAATGTTCAGCTGAGCTCCAGTCCAGTATTTTTCTGTATTAGACAAAAATGTTTTCATTACAAATCTTTAATCCTTTAAAAAATAAATAATAAAAAAATTTATCCCTGCAACTGAAACTGTTTCTCATAAAGTCCACATTGCATAAACAGTTGCCCAAGGTCCTGGGAACAACAGCCAGTCCACACATGGACTACATCACAAAAGCAACAGATCATAGTGGTCAGCCCAGGGCAGAACAAGGATGTGCTCACTTTAAGGGACAGATGGTATCTATTTAGCTAAATATTCTTCCACTAAGGCTGTTTTAACGCCCAGATCATTTTTATCAGCTTCTTATCACATTTGGGAGCCCAGCATGCTTCTGATGGAGGCTGTGTAAGTGCTTCCCAGAGAGTGCTGTAGTTTAAAGGTTCAAGGCAACATATCAGCATGAAGAGGAGGTGTGTGGATATGGAGGGGGGGGGGAATAAAAACAACTCCATGCTATGTTTGCTGATTTTGAAATGTTCTTGGATGAATTTCCAGGTAGAATATAGATACAAGTATGTGGGAGGCCTCCTTCATCCATAGTCAGTTCTGCTGTATGTTCAGGGCCAGACCGTGAGCCTTTAACTCCGTGTCTGTGCACTGTTTTGTGGGTTAACATGAAGGAGGTCTGCCAGTGCTCTGAACAACTCAAGAGATGTCTCACTGGCATCTGTAGCATGGTATTAAGCCCAAGCTATCCTGGCTCACATCTGACTGCAAAATTCAGTGTAGACATGCAACTTAGCCTGGCATTCGCTCCTAGGAACGGTTCCCATCTGAGATACTTCTGTTGTGAGGACAAGGTGTTACTCATCCTCACTATGCATATCACAGGGTGCCTTACTGTTAGACTGTCAGGCAGAGCTGTCATCTGAAACCTCCAGTGCAGTGAGGCGATACAGCCCTGTGTCAGTCCTCTTGAACTGTGAAAGTACCACATGCGATACTAGTATCATGACATCTGCACAGTGTTGCATGCACCAAAGCACCTCGATGTAAAGAACAGAGGGTGTTCAGAGAGAGCAGAGAGGAAAGTGTAGGACACCTATGAAACGCAAAGAAAAGTATTTCTCTCTCTTTTTCTTTCTTCACCAGGGAACTGGCTCACACAGTACTATAATAACAAGCACTGGCAGGCTGCCCAGCATCACTGTACTCTGGTTGTAAGTGAACTATGAGGCTAAAGCAATCTTCTGGGAAAAGTTCACACCAAATGTATTGTATGTTATGTTTTCCCCTCACTGGCTTTTTTTTTTTTCTTCTCCAAACCAATCTATTATACTCCTACCCTGTTACATTACGGATTTCTTTTTAAGATACCCAGGAGTTGCCCTTTTAAAAACAAATATTGAGTAATCAAACAGATCTGGTTTTTAAAGTAACGGAGATAGATAAACTAGTAATTCTCCTCCCAAAATAAAACCAGATCATGGCTCATTAAACAGTGAGTTTTTCTGTTCTTGGAAATCTGTTTGCTTGGGTTTTTTCCTCAGCTAAAATGAGAGAAAGAAATGCATTATTAAAACACTATCATTATCTGTACAATGTACATCTTCCATGGTGGAAGCCAAGCAGAGCAGACTTTACAATAGTAATTCAGTGAAAGGAAAAATGTCCCAAAAAGCATGTTCTGTATTTGACCTGAAACTTTCAAAACAAGTCTGATGTGGTTTTTACATGATAGTCGTGGTCACCTCAAAGTTGCCAACTGTAAATCCCACTGTAAATTTAATAGGTACATAAAGATTTTATTAGAAGTACATGAATCTCCAGCACTTGAAGAGTCACTTGTTCTTTGCTGAAGGCAATAATGAGATGTATTCATTTATTTTTTACCATTTCTCAATGTGGCTTTTACAGAGTCGCAAAAAGACAAATTTTCTAAGTTCATGAAAACGATGAAACTCTGAAGACATTGGACATAATTTATCTGACAAATCAGACCACAGACAGTCAGTTGGAAACAAAAGTAGTCCTGTCTATACATAACCAGCCCAAATATGTATTCCCCATTGCCCTGCAAATACAGACACTCTGAATTTATAATTTACTGTTGTTTTTACTAATGTATGGCATTGTATTAGTCTTTGGAGGCCTTTGCTAAGCTCCATATTGCATTGTGTGAAGGGTTGTACCTATTCTATGCGTAGGAAGTTTCTGCCTCAAAAGGCTTAGGAGGTTAACTTAAGGTTGTTTTGCAAATGTGATGGCACTGTACAGAAAGCAAACTCACAGCAGACATGAAACAGTTAATTCAGTTTTAATTTGCAGGGGTATTGAGTACCTGTAACTCCTGAAGAGTTCAGTAGGAGTTTTGGATGTTCTGCACTTTTGAAAGCCAGACTGAAGTTCCTCGCTATGCTTCTGACAAAAGGTCCTTAAGAAATTAGAGACAGAAAAGAATTATTAGGTTATCAAGCAAAATTTGTCCCAGAAGAAACCCCATTGAAGTCAATGGAATTTCACTGGGGATGGATTTACCATAGAAAGATTGTTCCCTGTAGTATATTTAGAAGTGCTTTTTCCTATACAGTTTAAATTAGTTCTACATTAGTCAAGGTACTGTACCATTCTTTCAGTCAGCTCCCTTTGCAGAGTACTGTCTCTAGCTATCCTTTTCCACATTTCCCCTCCCCCCATCCCTTGTTGCCTTCTTCTCACCCTCTCATTATTTTATGTCTAATTTGGCTAATGAATTTCTCAAGACAGAGCAGCCTTTCATGTTTGAGAAGGACCTACCCTGTACTGCGGTTAAAAGAAAAAACAAAACCCACAAAACAAAACAAGATCAGGAAGAGAGAACAAATTCTTCTACTGAAAAAAGCAAAGTTGTACATGAAGCTTTAAGTTTTTTATCACTACACCAATCCATATATAGCTAGGCCACAGTTTTTCACTACATATTCTGCATTAAAATTGACATGGGTGCTTTGGTATTGACATTCCAGTTTCACCACTGACTTCGATTTTTAAAGCATTGTTAGAGCAAGTGGCTTCACTTTTCAAACATCTGTTTCGCCACTATCACAATAGCCATAGTCACATAGCACATGTAAAGAATTTCTCAAGCTGCTTCACAGAAATCAGGAAAGCATTTTAAGTTCTGCAGTGGAAAAGCACAGTAACATAAGGCAAAGGCAAAGGACCACTGCCATCAGTACTCTGTTTTTATTTTTTTTAATTTTTTTTTTTTTTATTTCTAACACAAACATTCATCTTTTCTGTGATGAAAACCCTAACAAGATTATAGGGAATTTCTAGTCTCTGTATACTTTCAGTCATATAATTACAACTAAAACAACTGTGTTGAGGACAACTAGAGGAACAAAAATTACAGGTTCAGTGCTGCCTTCTGCCAAAGGGAAAAATGTCCACAATTAAGAAGCAAACTCTAAAACCACATTGGACAAGTTACTAAATCCTATCTACGTAAAGATGTGTGTGTTCGTTTCTGAGTCACTGTATCATTTGACCATGCAAGAAGCAAGACAGTTTACTTGAAGAATGTCAGGAAGACTAGAACATAATTAAAAAATAGCAATGTTTTCATTTTTCTTAATACTCATCTAAAACAGGCACACACTCCCCTTAAAATTAACCACAGAGCTTAATTAAGCTTCTGATCATGCCATAAGGGTTCCATGTTGTCTTCTTGTGGTCATTTCATCAGCCAGGGCTTTTCATGTAAGAATGTGCTGCATGCATGTCACAGCATGGGATCTCATCACAGACACCTGCTCTCAGCCTGTGAACACAGATTTTAGAGCCCCCTCCCTGCAAAAACGGTGACAGAAGGGCATATTATTTAATTACTCATCCATGCTATACAAGACAGGGTCCACAGCTCCACTTGTTTCATACGGCTTGTGCTATTTTTGTGGGGTGATCAAATAGTTGTTGAAAAAGGAGAAAGCTTCACCATAGACTTCTCATTGTTATTTCATAAAAGCAATATATGAAAATATTGTGAAGATGAGATCAGTTTGTGCAGGAACTGAAGAAAATCTAGGTATGGTAAATATAGCTATAATATTATTTGTGATTTCTTTAGCTTTCATTGTGAAGATAGGTGAGCTAGTCTGTAATGTGTAACTTCACTCTCCTTGATTACAAGACCATGAATCCAGCAAAAATTAACTGACAGCCACCTCTAATGTACTGAAGAAGGTGAAACGAACTTAAAACCTTCATTTAAGTTAGATCTGAAGTAATGGTTATGTTTTCCTCCAGTGCTAGAAAAGGGGAAAAAACAAGAAGAAGATGAAAGTATAAACTTTCAGCTCTGCTTAAACAATGCATTTATTAAATCACTTCAGTCAAGGTCATTCAGGAGTTCCTACAAAATCCTATTGAGGACCAAAGCAAAGCACAGCTAAATGAAACTTTATATATTGTATCCGGTAAGCAATCACCATACTTGCATTCTCACTGCCCTCAGCAGCACCTGCATTCTTTGATCACAGTCCTTTTATGTGTTACACTGTATACAAAAGACCAAGCCAGCAATTAGCCGTTCTAGCACTGAGTCCTGAAATCTCTGCAAATGCTTCAGCCCCTTAATGAATTCCTAAATAGAAGGAAGTTGCAAACAAAGTTCAGCTTGTGTATTTTATGCCAGGTTCCCACAGCACTGTAGGTTCTTAGAGCTTAATTAATGACACTTGCATCCTGTGTGCCTTCCAGAGTTTTAGTGGAAATTTTACTGGTCACTTCAATCTCTGACATCTTTTGGACCAATTGTCCTCACAGTATTGGGCAACCTCCCTAGTCTTTGGAAGGGAAAGACAGACTTTGCTGCTAATCATGCATCAATGGGGTGGATAAAAACAGGAGGAACAAAACGTGCATCATTTAAAGTAAACTACTCATCAGAAATCCTATGCATTGTATAGAAACCAAAATGGGTGATGAAAATGAAAACCACAGCCTAATATACCAGCATTTGGGAACTCTGCCAATGCCCCTAATTAAAATTTTGTACTAATCTCTTCAGGGAATCCAAGAAATTCTTTCAGAAAATGGAACATTCTTCTGTGCACATCCAACTACTTATCCTGTAAGAGGGAATATAAAGGAGATTGTATGCGATCAGACAGAGGTCATTGGAGTGGAAAGGACAGTGTGAAAGCTACAGGAAATGAGCCATCTATGAATGAAAATACTGGAATTCCTTCTTGAACCCTGACTCACACAATGTATGATTTTTCTGATCCTGGTCTAAGGATCATTACATCAGTGGAAAGGCTTCATTAATTTTAGTAGGGTTTTAATCAGTTCCGAAACAGGAGAATAAAAAATAGGTATTTAAAATTACAAGGTATGCCAACATGTCCTTTCCCTTCTTTTCTTTTTGTCCTACCACCATTAGAAAGCTTGGTGAGAGTGGTTTGAGATGAATGAGAAGGGTAGGGGCTGGACTAGAGAGGGTCTAAGACAGCACCTCTGACACCACCTTATAGGTAATAAACAACGCATTCAGTGCTGTTAGAGATGCAATTAGAGATGAAAGGAAGGAAAGAGTTGGTAATTGGCTGGTAACTGGAGAGGGAAGGGATGCTGATAGAGAAGTATTTCTAAGAAGGGAAAGACCAAAACTGCTTTATTGTTAAAAAAGAGCCACAGCAAAATTTTAAGAAGAAAAATAGGGTCATACACAGGGGTAAAGGAGAGGGGAATAATATAGCTAGAGCAAGTGTACAAGGCTAGGTTAGAATCTCAGTCATCTGGACAAAAAAAGAGACAAGGTAGGTAGGAGGCATAAGGAAAGCCATAGACAGCAGGGAAACTGCATCATACTTTATCAGTTTTCTCTTTGAAGAAAACAGCAGGGTCCTATAAAGAAAAATACAGGAAGGCAGTAGGAGAGAACTACCAAAGATGAATCTAGGCGGGCTCTGCAAGGAGTAAATCTTCCGCATAGATATGCATCTGAGGCTCATAAGTCAAGCAATCATATCCTGAGCTTGAGTTATTCAAATCTAAGGCTTTTGTTGCCAATGTGGACCAATGGGGTTTAATCATTGATTGCCTTCCGCTTTCCATAGACCGTGGTGCTCATGCAGACTGGCTGAACCTACCAAAAAGGAAACAGAGGCACAAGAATATATGGCATCCACCTTTTGCATGTCTATATCTTACTACATGCAAATCAACACAGTGGGGACTCAGTTCCCCCAGCTAATTCTTCCTAGTGAGTGAGATCTGGAGTGAACCCAAACAGGACTTCAGCTTGATCCACTTATTTGTAGAGTTTCCTTTCTTCTTCTGGACTTAAAAGCAAACAAGACTTCCTCTCTGATACCTTTTTCTAAAAGATCTTTCTACAACTAAGGCAATTATGTGTTAAGATTACATGTGATTCTCTGATGTCAGATAAGATAACAGATAATCCTCATTAAAGATTTATGACATTGTACATTACAGGTTCCATTTGTATGTTGTATGCATTGCCTTCAAGAGGCCTTGAGAGATGCTGTAAGATCTCCCTATTCAGATTATGAGATATTTGCATTCAGCACTTCCTTATTATAGGTTTAGAAGTACCAACAACCCAACTAGGTGATCTGCTGTTCAGATCCTGCTGTTCTCTGAATCCACACAAAGGTGAAATGCTATTGTCGGTCAGTGGGATCCTTAGGACGTAACAAGGTTTAAACCATTTTCCTCTTATTTCTTCATGTGTCATTTCACTATAAAGAGATCACTTAGCAGACAGAAAAATGTATACTAGGAAGAAGTCATCTTTGTTTCAACCACAGTTTGTCCATGCCAGAAAGGTAGTTGCTTATTGTGCCTTTTTTTCTTTTTTGATAGCTGAACTTCTGGTTTGACACATCCATCTTAACATTGTGTTTTACTTGTTGCTCAGGGACCTACCTAGATCTTACATACTTTTGTGGATCTGCCTGAAGGTGCCCCTCACTGGGCATCTCTCAGGAAAAAGCTGACTATTTACAGCTGAACTGCTGTTCTAGAACTCAGTTTCTCCATGCAAGTGAATATGCTGTTAATACTTCCAGGAGGTGATAATCACTAGGAAGATATTTAGTTGTGTTTCCTGCTGTGCAACGCACATTCTTCTGAGGGAACTGAATAATTTTGGGAAACATAGAGGAGCTATGCTCAGCAACTTCACACTGTGACTGCTCTGATACAAGGACATCTCTGCTCCAAAGCCTAAAAAACAATATAGCCGATCTCTGTGATATCGGGTGGTGTGAAACGCTGTTCGCACAATAGTATATCCTGCTTAGCATATGTGGGATATTCCTAGAAGGAACATGGCTGATAATCAATTCGGGTACCATTAACACAGATTTAATGTACAATGCTCTTTTGCCTAAATATTAGCGCATGTTTCTTGAATCTTGCAGTGATAATTTTTTAATTTCCTTTCTGGTGAGAGCACATAACACTAGAGTGTGGGAATTTACATTTTCTCTCAAGTGGTACGTCAACCTCGATAGCAATAAACTGCGCTTTGAGCTTCACCCACACTGGCATTTTGCCTGCTGCAGTTTTGCTCCTGAATGGATCAGCAATGTTCAACCAACAACAGGCATTTCCAGTGTGGAACAATGAAGTCTAGGCACCTAGTGATTTTAACTACTTGGAAAGAAGGGCAGAGTATGTAGCACAATTCTGCTACATACAAGCATGCAACCATCTATAATGGAAATATACCTTCATGAAGCTTGTGTCTGTGTGATTTAGGATGTCACAGATCTCAGCTGTTTGTTGTCTTTCTGACGCCCCTGGCTGTGTTGAAATCACCACTGTGACAGCCAAGATGAAGTAGCTGACTGTGTGAGCACTCCTCGTCCTTTCCAGCATACAGCAGAACTACTTAGCTTAAATCACCACTGACGGGAACTAACTTCTTAAACAGGTTTGAACTTGATCTTTGTTGAGCACATCTGACTGTGGCCCAGATTGCCTAGTTCAGCTCAAAGCCAGCACATGTACCCTATTATCAGCAGCAGCAGCTCTACATCAGTCAGCAGCTGGCAGACAGACCCTTGGGGACTTTTCTAGCTAAGGCTAATGCAGCCCTATGGCTGCTTCAATATATTCTTTGTGCACAAAACAGGACATATCTCTTTGCAAATGTTGTTATTGCACAATGGGTGTCATTGATAGCAGGAAAGAGACAATGCTTGGGAGCTGGACATGTTGTTCAAACATTATTCCAGTCTTTTTATATACTCTGATTAAGGCCTTTACCTAGAAATGCCATCATGCCGTTGCTGGCTACTTTGCACAGAGAGTATCTGAAATCCCTTTTTACCTTTCTTTAAAGGGTGAATCAAACTGCATTGCAGTGCCTGAATTTCTAGAGTTTGTGACATTCTTTTAATGTAGATTCTGGTTTATCTACATCCAAATACGTACAGATCTTCTTACACAAACAGGTACATCCATAGTACTCATCTTTTCAAGCACTACATACATTTTCACTATTAGCCCATTCAGTTTCTCCACTACATTTCCAGGTCATAACCCCAGTGTTGTCAGCAATACTTAGCCCTTGACTTCCTAGTAGTTTTTCTTCGGCAGTGGCAGACAGGGCTGTTAGGCAACCAGGAAATCTAAAACAAAGGAAAAGTCTTACAAAGAGAATATGGGACAGGCAGAGGAGTGAGTGGTACTAACAGATGAACAGCCCAAGGGAAACAAATAAAGCGAGGTGGGGAATAAGGAAAGCAACATTTGGGAAGATTTGCTCCTAGTGCAGGCAGCAGCTGCCAATACTGCTACAGACAGCGTCAGATCAAGCAGGAGTTCACCTGTTGTGACAGTACAGGACCAGCACGGGGCTAAAGCTCTTAGAATCCCATGTTCAAAACAATACACAACTAAGCACAAAGAGAGCATATGAATGGAGGGATTAATTTCCTAAACCTGGATGTCTCTTTTAGATGCCCAAGTTCTCTCCCACAAGACCTGTGATGCACCTACCAGCCCTGTGCCAACATCTCAGATACCTCAGATCTCTATGTTTAGGGACTTGAATACTAAACACTTTGTTTTGTTTTAGGCTTTGACCCCCTGCTCCTCATACTCAAAGCAGGACAATGATTGGGGACTAACTCAAATAACCTTGAGGTAGAACACCTCTGTGATGATCCAGGTTGTATCTGCAGCTCACTGGTGGATCTAACCCAGGGTCATGGGCAGCTCAGCTCTCTGCGAGGCAAAATGATGTGGCCACCTCTAACAGCTTACAAACACCCTTCTTGCTGTCATGTGTGTTGAATGCAAACAGCTGAGCACTGTCATTACCCACAATCACAGCTGTAGAACTCATAAGAAACAGCATAATCAGGAACCAGGCATTCCCCATTACTGTAACTGTGTGATCGAAGCCTTGCCACAACACAGCCTTTTTTCCCTTACCCATCCCAGCTGCTTTCAGCCAGTCTCTTTCAGTCACTGACGTTCCTCACGCCCTCTGACAGAAGTGGCCATGACAAGAATGTCTGAGAAGATGAGACAGAAGCACCTACAGCAAATAAATAAGCCAATAAAGCAATAAAAAGACAATGTGAGAGAACAAGGAGGACATGAGCTGTTCGGACGCTTGAAGGCCAGCCCATAGAGTCACTCAGTCTAGACTCCAGATGTGAACGCAGAGCCTCAGTGAGTGCAATACAGGACTGTGTAAATATCTCAGCCAGATGTCTCAGGGCCCAAGCTACAAATCCTCACAAATGGTGACAGAGTTGGCTGTTGCTGCTCGCACAGCTCTGCTTCCAAGAGAATCAATGGTCATTCAGTCAGCAGCAGCTAATTTTTGCTGCCAGATGGGAGGGAAAACCAGGCTCAGAGTTGCAGTTAGTCTCATAGCAAACTCAGCAGTCAGAGGATGGGTCATGGAGCCCCCTGTGGGTACTGAGGCTAGCTCAAAATAGCAATCTGGGGAAAGAGCTGAAAAGATTATAGTAAACATAAAAGCACGTGATCCTAAACTCTTAAGTAAACAAAGTAACAGGCTATCATGTTAGGCACCTGTATTCAAGTTTAGATCTTCAAGATCCCTTCCATTTGGTCAACTAATTTTACAGATGTTTAATGTTACACAACAGAATTACCTTAAATTTCAATTGCT